CTTCCATCTCTCGGTTTCATCATTTGATTAGTGGGTATTGGGACGACCCCTACCTAATGGCATAGTTGTGAGGACTCCCCTCCATGTGGAGTTGCTAAGAGGTGGGCTCTGGAGTCACTCTTCCTGGGTTCAAATCTTGGTTCTGGTGCTCATTGCCTTGGGGACCTCAGGCATTTCAATAAATTTCCCACGACTTCAGTTTCCTTGAAAATGAGGGTAAGAGGATTTAATTCCACAGGGTTTTGATGAGGATTAAATGAGGTGTGCACGGGCAGTGCTTAGAGTGGTATATGGAACATGGTAAGTGCTCCATTATGTTAACACTCCCCCTCCTCCTCCCTCTCCTCCTCCCTCCCCTCCTCCCTCTTTTCCCCTCACTGACTCTCTCCAGCCACACAGGCCTCCTCGCTGTTCCTCCAACATGCCAGGCAGGGTCCTGCCTGAGGGCCTTAGTATGTACAGTTTATTCTGCCTAGAAAGCTTTTGCCCTGCATATACACGTGGCTCCCTCTCTCACCTTCTTTGTGTTTCAGCTTACGTGTCATCTTCTCAGTCATTTCTCCATTCTTGACATTGTATCCCTCATCCCCAGCTCTCCAGATTATCAGCTCTGTGAAGGTGGAGAATTTTGTGTGTCTTGTTCCACTGCTGAATCCACAGTGCCTAGAATAGTGTCTGGCGTATAGTAGGTGTTTTTGTTTGTCAGGGTTAACCAGAGAAACAGAACCAATAGGATGGAGATATATATATATATATACACACACACACACATATCTGTGTGTGTGAGTGTATAAAGTTCCATTATAAGGAATTGGTTCACACAGTTATGGAGGCTGGCAAGTCTCAAGATCTGCAGGGTGAGGTGCAAAGATCCTGACAGTGAGAGGAATTTGGAGAACTGAGTGAAAGTGAGCATGGCTGATGGGATAGGATAGGAGATGAGCAGGAGAGGTTGGCAGGTGCCCACTCACACAGCTGGGTTGCTATTCTAGTTTGGGGTGGATTTGAGTTGTGAGAAATTGAGTTGTGAGTAATGGGAAGCTCAGAGTTGAGAGACCACAAGTGGTAACGTGCCGGAAGTCTGCAAAGAGAAATGTTGCCTTCGTAGCTGAAAGAGGAAGCTGGAAATGAGAAGAAAGATGTTATCTGAGGCATCATGCAGGGAAGGGAAATAAACAAATCATGCTGTAGGGAGCAAAGCGCCTGGGTCTCAAGACCCTAATAATGACAATCCATCCCTTATGTTTTTATGGCACTTTATAAAGAGCTTTCCCATGATGTCCTATCTTACCAATTGATGCTGGCATTCTCGCTGACCTCTCTTTATTTCACGCCCCACATCCCATCCACTGGCAAATCCTGTTAACATTACCTTCAAAATGAATCCAGAATCCTAGCTTTCCATAGCTCCCACCTGGGTTGTATCCACCATCATTACTCGCCTCGACAAGTGTGGTCACCGCCTCCCTGGTCATTCAGCCTCTGTCCCTCTACAGTGCATCTTCCAACAAATTGCCAGAAGGATCATGTTAAAGTCATGCTCTGTCCTTCCTCTGCTCAAAACTCTCCCATGCTCCCATCTCACTATGATAAAATGCTGAAGTCTTACAATGGTCTAGCAGATTCTGCATGATCTGGCCATGTCACCTCCTCCTACTATTCTCTTTATCCACTGTGCTCCAACCACACCAGCCTCCTTGTAATTCTGTGAAATCACCAGGTGTGACCCTGCCAATGGGCCTTTGCACTTGCTGTTGCCTTTGCTTTATTTATTTATTTTTTTTAATTTTATTTATTTTTCCCCCAAAGCCCCAGTAGATAGTTGTATGTCATAGCTGCACACCCTTCCAGTTGCTGTATGTGGGACACGGCCTCAGCATGGCTGGAGAAGCGGTGCGTCGGTGCACGCCCAGGATCCGAACCTGGGCAGCCAGCAGCGGAGGGTGTGCATTTAACCGCTAAGCCACAGGGCCAGCCCTCCTTTGCTTTAAATAGCTGCTTAGCTCACTCACCTCCTTTAGATCTTTGCTCAAATGTTACCTTCTCAGTGAGGTCTTGATTATTGAGCACAGACCATGCACCAGGCACTATTCTATGCACTCAGGATGCAGTAGTAAGTAAGATGGTCACACATCTCTTCCAGGAGCTCACAGTCCGTCAGGGCGACAGACTTGAAACAACCAATTACAAAAGTTTTTATGTAGAATTATCTTAGAAATTGCCTGAAAATTTATTCCATTTCCAGCCAGACCTATTCTCATGCAGAATTAGTGAAAATAATGCACTTCGGGCTTTGACAGGTTTGGCGCTGCCTCTTGCAAGCTGTGTGCACTTGGGCAAGTTCCTCAACCTTTCTGAGCCTCAGTTTTCCACATCCGTATAATGCAAGTTGTATTAGTTTCCTATTGCTTCTGTAACAAGTCACTGAAAACTTGGTGGCTTGAAAGAACAGAAGCATATTCTTACAGTTCTGGAGGTCAGAAGTTTGAAACGGGTCCCACTGGGCTGAAATCCAGGTGTCAGCAGGGCTGCATTCCTCGCTGGAGGTTCTAGGGCAGAATCTGTTTTCTTGCCTTCTCCAGCTTCTAGAAGCCAACTGTATCCCTTGACTCGTGTCCCGCTTCCTCCATCTCCAAAACCAACAGGGGCTGGTCAAGTTTTTCTCACATTGCTTCACTCTGACTCTGCCTCTCTTGGTTTCATCTTTCACTTATGAAGATGCTTGTGATTATGTTGGTCCCACCTGGATAATCCAGGCTAATCTCTCCAACTCAGGGTCAGCTGATTAACAGTCTTAACTCCATCTGCAACCTTAATTCCCCTTTGCCATGTAGCATAGCATATTTGCAGGTTCCAGGGATTCAGTTGTGGTCATTTTTGGGGGGCCATTATTCTGCCAACCACAGGACTGATAGTGTCAAGTGAGTCCCTTCCCTAGCACCTGGAAGCCTGCCCCCACCTGTGGCTTTGTCCTCCTTGAGCTCACAGTGTGGTAGAGGAGATGATCACTAAAAAGCTAATCACTCAAATAATCCAACAATTATAATTTTTATAAATGCCATAAACAAAGAGCAGAGGGAGGTATGGTGGAGTAAAGGAAGTGACATTTAAGCAAGAACTGTAGAGTGAATAGGAACTGGCCAGGCAAAGCAGAGGAAAAGACAACAGCATGTGCAAAGGCCTTGTGGTGGGGAGACTAGAAATGGAGAGTGAAGAGAGATGTGATTGGGTCTGGTCACTGGGGGCTTTGCGGGTCATGTTAAGTAACTTGGATTTTAGTTCTGAGTGCAACAGAGAGTATTGTAGGCAGGGGTGGGGGTGGATGATCAAATTTGCCTTCAGAGATGATTGCAGGGAACAGTGGGGGATGTAGGGGATGTAGGGAATGCAGCATCCAGAGGAAGATCTGTACCAAGCATAGCCATGGAGATGGAGAGACACAGGTAGATGTCGAATATTTGGGAGGAAGAATCAATGGGGCTTGGGGACTCACTGGACGTGAGTTGAGGACTAAAGAAGTAAACCAAGGTACAGAGAGGTGAATTCCACTTGTTCCAGGGCTGGGGTGGCTAGGATGTAGTTTTGACTGTTTCCATAGAAACCAAATGACAACAACTTAAAATGTTTATTTCTTAGAAGTTTATTCTTCACCCTCTCATAAATCTCCACTTTGGGATGGAACAAGGTGACAGGGCTACCTCGTCTGAGATCTTCTCAGCTCCCAGGTGCCTTCCATCTTGTTGTTTCTCCGTCCCTCAGTGCGGAGGTTTTCCAAAGCATCATCCCCACGGTTATGGACAGATCACCTCATTCCGTCCACATTCCAGCCCAGGTGAAAGGGAAAGGAGAAGTGAAGACCACGCTCCTTCTTTTTAAGGGCGTGGCCAAAAGGTGCACATATCACTTCTACTAATTTCCATTGGCTGAAACTCAGCCACATGGCCACACGTAGCTGCAAGAGAAGCTGAGATTGAAGCCTAAATGGGTGGGCATTTTATTAAAAGGAAGAGGGGGAGATGGGTGTGGGGGAGTAGCCACCATTCCCTGCTTTGATGTTTCCTGTGGGAGCTTTAACCCAGGTGGTCCTTGCTCCAAAGGCTGCAGCTTTGACTCGCATACTCTTCTGTCTGGAGCTCTGATGCTCACAGAGTGGTCCATGGACCGGCATCATCAGCATCAGTCACAGGCTTGTTAGAAATGCAGAAACTCAGGTCCCCCAGACCAGCTGAATCAGCATCTGATTTTCCAAGGTCTCCCGGGGATCCCAGGTGAGGCAGATGCTGCTGGTCTGTGGACCACACTTGGAGAAGCAAGAGTCCAGATCAGTACTTCTCACACTTCCTGTGCACACACATCACCTGAGGATCTTGCTAAAATGCAGATTCTCATTCAGTAGATCTGGGGCAGGGCCTGGGAGTTTCTGTTTCCATCAAAATGCCAGGCGATGCTGATGCTGCCCACCCACAGACCACACTTTGAGTGGCAAAGTCTAGGGTCTGTAAGGTCCTTGACTGAGCAGTTTCCTAGGGCTGCTGTAACCACAAACTGTGTGGCTTAAGACAACAGAAATTCATTATCTCACAGTTCTGGAGGCCAGAAGTCTGAAATCAAGGTGTCAGCAGGGCCGTGCTTTCTCTGAAGGCTCTAGGAGAGCATCTGCTCTGTGTCTCTCTCCCAGCTTCTGGTGTTCCCGGCAATCCTTGGTGTCTCTTGACTTGTAGATGCATCACTCCCATCTCTGCCTCTGGTATCACATGGTGTTCTCCCCAAGCCTGTCTCTGTGCCTCTTGTCCTCTTCTCATAAGGACACTAATTATATCAGATTAAGGGACCATCCTTCTCCAGCATGATCCCACATTAACTTATATCTTAATTGCATCTACAAGGACCCTATTTCCAAATAAGGTCACATTCTCAGGGACCAGGTTTAGGGCCTCAACATATCTTTTTGGAGGACACAATTCAACCCACAATGGTCGCCTTTGCTCTCTATCACTGGCTTCCCTTGCAGCCCTGCTCTGGTGCGCTAACCCGAACTCTTCCTTCTGTGCTGCCTAGAAACGAATGAGTGTGTGGATACCACCGTCTGCCCAGCTTATGCAACCTGCACCGACACTCCAAAAAGTTACTACTGCACTTGCAAACAAGGCTTCCTGTCCAGCAACAGAGAGACACAGTTCAGGGGCCCAGGAGTGGAATGCAAAGGTGAGTTCACATCCCCTCAAAGGTTGTCGGGAAATCAGGTGGAAGCCAGCTGGGTAGCAGATGTAAGTACTTTTTCTTTATTCCCCAAGTATTATATTATTTCCTCCCTCCCTCCCTCCCTCCCTCCCTCCCTCCCTTCCTTCCTTCCTTTCTTCCTTCTTTCTTTCCTTTATTTCTGTCATGAGAATGATTCCTGGTCACTAAAATTTCCAATGATTACAGACTAGCATTAGGATGAAAATAAAAAAAAAATCCTACTGCCTGTCAACATTCAGAAATAACCACTGATTTCATTCTGTGGGTGTGCCTTCAGCCACCTTTCCATGCAGATAATAAGAATTTCTAACATTTACTGAGTGCCAGACTCCGTGAGAAGGGCTTTATGTGCACTGTCACATGAAATTGACTGTAGGCTTTGTGATGATCTCCATTGTCCAGGTGAGGAAACTGAGGATTGCAGAGCTGAAATGATTTGTTTAGGGTCATGTAGTTGAACTGGGATTCAAACCCAGGTCTTTCTGACTCTAATGGTGGTCTCTCAACCACATCAGCTAATTGCCACACTCTAGTTAAGGGGTGTGGGGAAATGTGTTTAATCTCTCTAAGCCTCAATTTTCCATCTGTAAAATGGGTGTATAAGAGTATCTATCTCAAAGGATAGTTGGAAAGATTAAATGCAATAATGTATGCAGTGTGCTAAGCACATGTACAGTATCAGGAGTTATAGTAACATAAATAAAATAAAGTAACATAATTCCCAGAAGGAGCTAAATTCTCTGTCTGAATTCCTTATATTTAGACCTCAATGCTCCTCTTGACAGTAAAGATCTGATTATGCCTCTGAATAAGACCAGAGGTTGGCAGACTTTTCTGTAAGTGGCCGGATATTAAATATTTTAGAGACTGCAAGCTGTATGATCTCTGTCATGACTACTCAGTGCTTCAGTTGTGGTGCAAAAGCAGTCACAGATGATACAAAAATGAATGGATGTGGCTGTGTGCCAATAAAGCTTTATTTACACAAACAGGTGATAGGCCAGATTTGACCTATGGGATATAATTTGCTGAGCTCTGAATAAGATAATTCATTTCTATCACTGTAGTTTCCAGGGAGCCCCAAACATCCTTCTTTACCTTCGAGCTACTGTTAATGGGTTATTCAGTCAGTTCAGTAGTGCTGGTGGGCCCTGGTGTTTAAATCTGCGGTGAAATCAACATTCCCCATCTAGAAAATGATGGATACCACAGCGATGTTTTTGTCCCCAGTATGTCTTTGACCCCTCACTGTGGTACCTGATACATTGTGAGTTAAATAGATATTTGTTGAATGAAGGAAGATGAACCTTATTCTTTAGTGAACTCCAATCATCCTCATGTTGACAAGCACGTAGTTGTTTCTAATGTTTTACAACTTCAAACAAAGCTGAATGAGCATCCCTGTGATCTTATCTTGATGTGCAGTGGCAGCTCCATATTTCTCTCTAGGAGAGGTGCAGTTGACTGGGAGGTAGCTATAGGACACTTGTGTTGAAGTTGTGCTTGCATAACAAGTACATAACAAGTGTTTATTTAGGGTGACTGGGAAAAGCAGGGGTGAAGGAGGTTTGGGGAGGGCCATGCCATGGTACCATGACTGCACAATTCCATGGGTTCTTCAATGGGTAATATCCTAGAGGTGGCTTTTCAAGGTGTTCAACTTATCTATTGTTGAGTAACAGACCACCTGCAAACTTAGTTGCAAACAGCAATCATTTATTTTGCTCATGAATGAATCTGCTATTTGGGCTGAGTTTGGAGAGGATGGAGTGTATCAGTTCCACAGCGTCAGTTGAGTTGGCTCTACTGGAGACAGGAGTATTCACTTTGAAGAGGGCCCACACACCTGGCTGGTAAGGTGGCGCTCGCTGTTGGCTGGCTGCTCCTCCAGGGCTGTGGGCTGGAGGTCTTAGTTCTCCATGTGAGCTGCTTTTTCATGGCTGGTTGGGCTTCCTCAAAGTATGGAAGGTGAGTTCCGAGACTGAGCATCTCAAGAGAACAAGGAAGTACATTATATTTTTATGACCTAGCGTGATATTCTCATGACCCAACATGGTATTTTTATGACCAGTATCACTTCCACCATAGTCACAAGCATTCTCAGATTCAAGGATAGGGAATATAGACCCCACTGCTTGACGGATGGAGTACCAAAGTCACACTGAAGGAGGGACATATGGGATGAAAACATTGTTTCAACCATCTTTGGAAAATACACACGATGAGGCAACTTTGTAACTCTGACTCTTTCTCTATCCAGATATAGATGAGTGTTCTCAAAACCCCCTACAATGTGGTCACAACTCAGTCTGCAAAAACCTGCCAGGGAGGTACAAGTGCAGCTGTTTGCCTGGTTTCTCTTCTCCTACTGGAAACAACTGGAACCCGGGAAAGCCAGGTCGTTTTGCCTGTACAGGTAATGCTCTCAAGCTCTTAGGCGTGGGTCTTTCGTGGACAGCTACCATTGAGTTGGGTACCTGTGTTTCTCACCATAGACACCCAATCTTGTGTCTGCTCACTCTCCTCCACTGCTCCTCAGACATCAATGAATTCCTCTCCAGTGGGATCTGCTCAGAGCATTCTGAGTGTTCCAACTCCTTGGGAAGCTACAGTTGCAGCTGTCAAGATGGGTTCTTCTCTAACAACTCCACCTGTGAAGTCAAAGAGGGCCTGCCCTTCTTAATTTACCTACTTGATTAAGAATCACCTCATTTGATGATCCTATGAGGCAGGGATCATGATCCCAATTTTAGGAATGAGAAAATTGAGACTCAGAGAGGTGAAGTGACTTGCCCAAGGATGAATAGCTCTTAAGTGGAAGAATCAGGATTTGAACGTCTGTTGTGGGCCTACTATGAGTTAAGCAGTGGATAAGGCAGTACCTGTGAATAATGGGGGGCTCTGTCCCTAGAGCGATTTTATCCCCAGGGGACATTGGCAATGTCTAGAGACACTTTTGATTGTCACAACTGGTGGTGGTGTTGGAGTTGTGTGTGCTATTGTCATCTAGTGGGTAGAGGCAAGAGATGCTGTTAAATACTCTACAATGCACAGAACAGCCTCCCCACAACTAAAAATGATCCAGGCCCAAATGTTAGTAGTGCTGAGGTAGAGAAAATCTGTGCCAGGGAGAGCTCAGATCCAAACCTCAGCATTTTTCCTAAAAGGTATTTGAATTAAGACCTGACAGTCACCCTCATCCTCCTTATCCTTCCATAGTAAATCAGTCACCATGTCTTGGGGAATCTACCCGCTAAATATGTCTTGAATCTCTCCACTCTTCTCCACCCATGGGTCAGGCTTCATCCGTATTGCAGCAGCATCCCCTCTTGTCTCTCCCTTTCTCCAGTCTTGTCCCTTCGAGTCCATCCTCCACACTGCAGCCAGAACGTTCTCACCAAGACACCAGGGCTCCATCTCCCTGAGTCTAGTGTGGTTCTATTGTTCTCCACATTCATTTATAGGAAGGGTGACTCCATCCAGCAGGGCATGGAGTGATCCAGCCCTCATCACATACCCTTTGCTTGGAGTCAGAGATATTTGAAGTCATCTCTGATTTTTCTAGTCCGTTTGTAGCAGTTAGCTATTGCTGAGTAACAAATCACCCTGAAAGTCAATGGCGAAAACAACCACCATTCATTTTGCTCTTGATTCCATGCATTGGTGGTTTAGGTTGGGCTCTGCCAGTCAGTTCTTTGGGTCTCAAACATTCTTCATGTGTCTGTGGTCAACTGTGGTTGGGCTGGGCTATCTCACCTGATTGGGGCTCATCTGGGATGATCCATGTCTTCCATCCTTTATCAGGCTAGTTTAGGGCTTGTTCATGTGGCAGAATCAGGAGGCCCAAAGCATGGGCATCTAGAAGCAAATAAGCGTCTAGAGGTCCAAGTTAGGAACTGTTGCCACATCACTTCTGCTGCATTCTATTGGTCATGCAAGTCATAGGGACAGCTGGATTCAGGGGTGGGAAACAAACTCCATATTTAAAGAGAGGAGTGGCAAAGTCACATCACACTGCATAACTTGCACTCTGAGGTGTGGATACAGGGGTATATATGTGGCCACTGAAGTACCATACTCTTGGCAGATATTTTTTGGATGGATGAGTAGTTGGACAGCTAGATGGACAGCTGCTTGGATAGATGGATGGATGGACGGATGGATGGATGGACAGATGGATGGATGATACAAACAAATGAACAAAGAAACAAAGGAAAAAATAGTGTACTTTTTTCTCTATGCCAAGAAAAAAAGACTACGGGCATTTGTGCAATGTGTCATCATTACATTTTGAAATTATTTGTCACCCTTTTCCTTACATATTATTGGCCAGAATTTATTTTCATGGTCTGGCCTAACTGCAAGGGAGGTTAGGAAGAAGGCAAAAATGTGGGTATTGGGGAGCCTCAGCACTGCGTGCCACAAGATAAGAACATGTAGAGCAAATCTCCACTTGCAGTCTCCTGTCTTCATTTCCTCCCCTGCCTTGAGCCGGGTTTTCTCTTCCACTGTCTAGATGTGGATGAATGTGTGGATCCCAGAGCTTGCACAGAGCATGCGACTTGCCACAACAGTCCTGGAAGGTACTATTGTGTCTGCAACCCAGGATTTGTTTCCAGCAGTGGAAACACGAGATTCCACGGTCCAGGAGAGAAGTGTGAAGGTAGGTGGAGGGATCTGTTGGGGAATCAGGTCCAATTCTGTTTGCAAAGACAGCAGTGGTGGGAGAGGAGTCAGGGCGGGTCTCGGCTGAATCATTCATTCATACATTCATCCATTCATTTATTCCTGCACCCTTCGACCAATACTTCATGAGTATCTACAATACACCAGGTTCTATTCTAGGGACAGCAGATACAGCAGTGAATAACACAGGGGAAAATGTTTGTTCTCCTGGAACTTGTCATCTTGTGTGGAGGGAGATAGATAACAGAAAATAGATGCATGAACATATTGTGTGTTAGGGATAGTTAAAGGAGATGAAGACAAATAAGGCGGGAAAGGCAAATAGAGAGTTCTGGGGATGGGATTCTAATTTTAACAGAGCGGTAAGGAAAGGCCACGCTGAAAAGTTGATATTTGAGACAAGATCTGAAGGAAGTGAGGGAGTGAGAGATTGGGTGTCTGGGGAAGGATGTTCCAGGAGGAGGGAACAGCAGGTACAAAAGCCTGGAGGAAGGATCCCAGACAAGGTTCTAAGCTCTCCCTCTCGTGTGCTCATTCAGTCCTCCCAACAACCTGATGGTACTGGTTGTATTCTACACCCATTTCACAGATAGAGGACTGTGAGCCTCCACTGTGGTGGAATCATCCTCCCAAGGTGTTTTGAGAGGTTTGGGGAATTTGATTGGAGATGTAAAAGAAACTTTCCACTCCAAATAAATGGACTGAAGGTATATTTTATTGTATAGAGCAGAGTAAAAGTGATAGTCTGCAAACAGATCCGAATAGGTCAAATAATCAGAGCGAAAGACACCAGCTCGATCGGAAAGGGAAACACCAGATTGACTGAGATAGCAGCGGATTCGAATAGTTCATATAATAAGAGGGAAAAACATCAGATCGATCGGAAAGGGAAACACCAAATCGACTGAAGGGAAATGAAACAAATCAACCGGAAAGAGAAACACCAGGTTGACTGAAAAGAAAACACGTCAGATCAGTTACTCATAACATCCACGCCACACTGCCGGGGAGAGTCCCTTCAACTGACACAGCTGCGCGGGAATCTGATCATCAGAGGTCCTGGGCAAGGCGTCCCCTCCACAGGTAAGACTCTCACCAGGTCTTGGTTTTTAGCAGTTTATATAGCATCAGTAATCTCCAGCAAGCAGTTACAGAGTTTATAGAGCAAGCATTCAGCGTTCCCATGCACAAATGGTTATCAGTGGTGTACATGCACTGAGCCTCCTGGTTATCGTCCAGCTCGGCAGTTGTGTACGTGCATTGTTTTCCCTGGTTATTGTCCCAGCCCGGCACAGACGGCCAGTCTGCCCCGAGCTACGATGCCCAAAGAACCTTGAAATGTTACAAATTGCAACCATCTCTGTGGGAGAAAGGCCAGTTCCCAAGAAAAAGGCCGGTTCCCACCACACAGAAAGCAGCTCTATATTTCTTTGTGTGCTGGTGGCTATAGGTCAATGAAACGGCCAAACATGGCCGTACTCATGTCAAGACACAAGACCAAATAGATAGGAGATAGGAGAGTCAGGATCTGAGTGTGCCTAGATGTGACTTCACACCCCATGCTCCCCACCAACGTTCTAGTCTGCCTTTGGCAGAGGCCACACCTCCAGCAATTCAAGGTGGACTTGTGTAGGACAGATATCAATGTATTCACCAAATTCCCAGACTCTGAGACTCAAGACAGCCTGAGAAGCTGTCATCCAAACATTCCAGAGCCAGACAGAACCTGGATTCCAATCCTCGTTGTGCCTTTCAAAAGCTATGTGACATTGCATAATTTTGAAGCCTCAGTTTCCTCCTTTGAAAAGTGGAAATATTAGTTTACACCTCATAGGGCTGCTATGAGCATTCGTGGAGCTAATGCATGTAAGGAATCTATGTCAATACCTGCCACAAAGAAAGGTTGAGATGTTAGTGGTTAAATTTTATTTTAGTTAACATTTGCTTGCCTAGTACTTACTGTGTTCCAGGCTCTGTGTGGAGTGCTTTACAGAGGTCACTTTATTTAATCCTCTGAATAACCCTATGGGGTGGGTACTATTATCCTCATCTGACAGATGAGGAAATTGAGACACACAGAGATGAATTCTCTTGTGCATTGAGTTAGGAAGCTCAGGTTGCTTAACAAAATCTTGTAGACTGGGGGCCTTAAATAGCAGAGATTTATCTTCTCACATCTCTGGAGGCCAGTGGTCTGAAATCAAGGTGTCAGCAGGACCATGCCTTCTCTGAAGACTCTAGGAGAGAATCTGCTCTGTGTCTCTCTCACAGATTCTAGTGTTGCTGGTAATCTTAGGCATTTCTGGACTTGTAGATGCATCACTCCCATCTCTGCCTCCGTCATCGCATGGTGTTCCCCCTAAGCCTATCTCTGTGCCTCTTCTCCTCTTCTCATAAAGACACCAATCTGATCAGATTAAGGGACCATCCTACTCCAGCATGATCCCATGTTAACTTACATCTTAATTGCATCTACAAAGACCCTATTTCCAAATAAGGTCACATTGTCAGAGACCAGGTTTAAGACCTCAACTCTCCATCTCACTGGGACAGCAACATGTGCGTACAGGAAATGGAACTGATGGCGGCCATCTTTGGAGGGACTACCATACAGCAGAACACATTTTATAGTCTTCCATCCCCCGGGAAATGCATGCTTCTTTTCATTAGAAATGATATATTTCTTCTTATTCGTTGATCTTTACTAGCTGCTGACATTGTTAGAAGCAGAACAATAGAGGCATAAAGAGGAAAGGGACCTTAGAGAGATTAATACAGCTCTAAGGGCTCTAGGAGCCTATTCAGAATCCCCATCTAGGGCCAGAAAGCAAGGCCATGGTCTTCCACTCTCCTTTCAGTCAAATTATCACCTCTTTTATTTGTTGTACGTATTCAGGTTTCACTTCACAAGAAGGAAGGTTTCTTGGGCCAAAATGTTTTGAAAACCATGCACCTAGTCCAGCTCTATATGCAAAATATAAATCTCACCTGTGCTGTCTCTGACAAGAGCTCACCTAGTCCATGCTTATATATTTCTGGAAGTGGGGAGCTCATGGTGAAAAGAAATCCACTGCTTGATTAGAGATGTTTTCTGTGATACCAAGAACAAACCTCTACCCATGCCTTCCAACCATGTCGTTTGAGGCCTCCAAATTAGTCTACATTCATATCACAAAGACTTCTCATCCCAACTCTCCATGGTATCGCCTGGTGCAACATACAATATGCCTGCATAAGCCCCTAGTGTGGATGGTGCCTATTTATCCCTCATGTTTTGTGAGATGACATAGAAACGTGAAAGGTTTTGTCCTTACCTCCCTCCTATTTATATTTTATTTTTACTTTTTTTTGGTGAGGAAGATTGGCCCTGAGCTAACGTCTGTTGCCAATCTTCCTCTTTTTTTCTGGAGGAAGAGTGGCCCTGAGCTAACATTTATGCCAATCTTCCTCTACTTTATATGTGGTATGCTGCCATAGCATGGCTTGATGAGCGGCGCGTAGGTCTTTGCCTGGGATCTGAACACGCGAACCCCAGGCGCTAAAGCAGAGCACATGAACTTAACCAGTAAGCCACTGGGCCAGCCTCCTTCCTATTTATTTTTTTCTGGGACATTCTATTCCATATATCCTCTGTGGTTCAGAAACCCTCAGAGGGAGAGGTACATCACCTTGTATTGGTTAAGCTGGGGTTTCTCAACCTTTGCACGATTGACGTTTTGGGCCGGATAGTTCTTTGTTGTGTGTGTGGCTGTTCTGTGCATTATTGGATGTTTGGCAGCATATTTTGTCTCTATCCCTGGATCCCAGTGACCACGAAAAATGTCTCCAGACATTGCCCAACGTCCCCTGGAGGGGCAAATTGCCCTCAGTTGAGAAACACTAGCTTAACGTAATAGAAATTTCTTACTCCTTTAACCATCCAGTATGGATATCCTTGGTCAATAGGCAGCTTTCCTCCACAAGGTGATGCAGGGATCCAGTCTTCTTGCATCTCTGGTTTTTCTATCCCTTAGGACTTTGGAATCCTTGGTTCCAGCTAGTGGCAGGGAAAGAGAGAGAAGACACACTTACTTCTTAACCACCTGGTCCCAGGAGTGATATGCCATACTCTCTCCCATTCCATGAGTGAAAGCTAATTACATGGCCCTGCCTAGATGCAAAGGGCTCTGGGAAATGTAGTCCCTGGTGGGCCGCCATTTTTCAGTGACAGTGCTATGCTTTGGAAGGGGAAGCATGGCTTTGTTGGATTGTTGGCCTACTCTGCCTCACTCCACAGACATTGATGAGTGCCTTGATATGTAACCTTTCGGCCAAAGGCATTGAAAAGTGCCTTTTCAATGCAACATGCACCAACACCTCCCAGGGGCTACTTTTGTACCTGCCACCCTGGCTTTGCACCAAGCAATGGACAGCTGAACTTCACAGACCATGTAGTGGGATGTAGAGGAGAGCAGAGGGTTTGCTGGTCAACCTTGGAAAGAAGGATGTCCTTGTTCCTTTGGGTTGTTTGATCTTCCCGAGTTTTTTTGCAGATATTGATGAGTGCTCCCAAGATCCATCACCGTGTGGTCCCAATTCTGTCTGCACCAATGCCCCAGGCACCTACAGCTGTAGCTGCATTGTGGGCTTCCGTCCCAATCCAGAAGGCTCCTGGAAACACAGCAACTTCAGCTGCAAAAGTGGTACTCTCCTTATGTGTCTTAGCAATGGAATCTGTGTCTTGCTTTGGTTGTAAAATCCTCCCTCTACCCAACCTATGGATCCTCTTCTTACTTTCACCTCATTCATTCTCTCTTTTTTTATTAATTCATTAATATATTAATTTGATAAATTATTTTTGAAGCATTAATTAACTAATTAATCAAACAGACCCCTGCACTAGGTACTGGGGATTCAATCCTGGATGTGATGGACATGATATTTGCCCTCATGCAGCTTATAGTCTAGGGAAGGAAGTAGAGAGCGCACACATAATTATTTAATAATTGAAAAATTGTCATGCCCTTTGGCATATTATATACCCCACTAGTGGGGTATATAATATGCTCCAGGCAAGTGACATTTAAGCTGAAGCTTGAAGGAAGAGTAGGGATTATCCAGAAAGAGTGGAGATCACAGCGTGACAGGTTATAGCATGTGCAAAGGCCCTGAGGCTAACAAAGACTGAGGACAAAGGGAAATGGCATTAGCTGCATCTGAGAAGGTGGGCAGAGGTCAGATTCTGCAGGACCTTGTGTGCTGTGCAAAGAATTTTGGAGTCTTTTTGCTGAGAACAATGGGGAACTGTGAAGGGTTTACATTTTTAAAATTACGGATTATTTGATACATTAAAAATATAAGTAATTTATATGGAGGCAATGAAGTATAATAATAAAATGATTATATCCGAGGCCCTTGCCAACATAAGAACCAGAATATCATCAATGCCATTGCATTTTCTGCATGCTTCTTCTCCACTCCATATATCCTTGTCTTCTCCCCAGAGGGAACCACTTGGAATTTTGTGTTTATAATTCCCCTACTTAAAAAAAAAAAAAAAAACCTACCATTTTTCTATCCCTAAACAATATCTTGCTTAGTTTTGTTTGCTTTGGAGCTTTATACAAATGGTATCATACCACATATGATCTTTTTTTATTGAGATATAATTGACATATAACATTCTATTAGTTTCAGGAGTACAACATAATAGTTTGATATTTGGATATATTACAAAATAATCACAATAAGTCTAGTTAACATTCGTCACCCTCAAAGTTACGAAATTTTTTGTCTTGTGATGATAACTTTTAAGCTCTACTCTCTTAGCAGCTTTCAAATATGCAATACAGTAGTTTTCACTACACTCCCCATGCTGTACATTACATCCCCAGGACTTCTTTATTTTATAACTGGAAGTTTGTTCCTCCTGACTACCTTCATCCATTTTGCCCACCCTCCACCCCCACCTCTGGCAACCACCAATCTGTTCTCTTATCTATGAGCTTGGCTTTTTTTTTTTTT